CCCTTTCGCACCTGGACAGTGACCCTTGCCTGGCAGATCATGGAGGTGCTGGGTGGCAACCCTGACTGGTCTGTGATCAGAGGCCTGGTACAGAGGTGAACCGAAGCTCCTATGGAGGGACAGGGCCCCAGGCTTCTAGAGCCTATCCATTTACTTCCTTCTGGAGTACTGGGGCCAACTGTTCAAGGCAGTGTAGCCTGGGACCCAGAATGCTGAGGAGGGAGAACCATGGAGGGGCTGGCCCAGGGAATGCTGGACACTTCCCTTCCTGTAGACATAAGTGCACCTCTGGTCAAACCCAGGACTGCTCAGGTGGGACGATCATGCAACTCACTTTGATCACTCCCAATTCTTCCGACTCAGCCAGGTTTGTGCTACCTTTATTCATTCAGCATTGGTCTATGAAACATGTACTCTGCCAGACACAAGGTAGTGAGCCATCTGCTGGTGGCTATAGCTGCGGGGCCACCTTGTACCCGTGTAACCCAGTAACATGGCTTTGCTTCTGCAGGAGGAGAAGAGGCTTCGCACGGCTTATCTGCGTGCAGAAGACTCTGAGCGTGAGAAGTTCTCCCTCTTCTCTGCGGCTGTGCGGGAAAGTCATGACAAGGAGCGCACAAGGGCTGAGAGGACCAAGAACTGGTCCCTTATTGGCTCAGTCCTGGGGGCCCTGATTGGTGTGGCTGGCTCCACCTATGTGAACCGTGTCCGGCTACAGGAGCTGAAGGCCTTACTCTTGGAGGCACAGAAGGGGCCTGTGAGTCTTCAGGAGGCCATTCGAGAACAGGCATCTAGCTACTCGCTCCAGCAGAGGGACCTCCACAATCTCATGGTGGACTTGAGGGGCCTGGTACATGCTGCTGGGGCAGGGCAGGGCTCTGGGTCACAGGCAGGTACTCCCCCAACCAGAGACAGAGATGTAGATGTCCTTTCAGCTGCCTTGAAAGAGCAGCTCCGTCATTCCAGGCAGGTCCATTCATGTCTAGAAGGTTTACAAGAGCGGCTTGATGGCCTAGAAAAGACTTGTAGCCAAATGGCTGGGGTGGTTCAGCTTGTAAAGGCTGCAGCACACCCAGGCCTGGTGGAACCAGCAGACGGGGCTATGCCCAGCCCCCTGCTGGAGCAGGGGAGCATGATCTTGGCACTGTCGGACACGGAGCAGAGACTAGAAGCCCAAGTCAACAGGAACGCCATCTACAGCACCCTGGTCACCTGTGTGACATTTGTGGCCACACTGCCTGTGCTCTACATGCTATTCAGGGCCAGCTAATCCCTGGCCCCTCCTTCAGAGGGTCTGAGGCAATAGCTGTGCTTGTGGATTTAGTTAGAGAATGACAATGAAGCAAGCCTTTGGGGGGGTGCGCAACCTCAGCCTGAAGGAGCAGTATCTGTGTGGCTCACCAGTAGGCACGCTTTGCTTTGTAGGCAGGGTTCATTTACATTAATTATCAAAACTGTGCTAATGTCCGATTAAAATGTCCTGAGTTTTATTATTTAAAACAATCAGACTGAGTTTTTTTGTTTATTGAGAATCAAGATCCAAGACCTGAAGGTTGGGTCTGGAGTTGGAGTAGTTACCCCTTTAATTTCTCTCTCATCTCCTCTTTGTCCTCTTTCCTGAACTGTTTTGGATGCACTCCTGAGACCTAGATTTTCATTTTGAATTTCCTGGCCTGCCCTCCACAACCTGACTGTCCTGTGTCAGATGGCCTGGGAGTTCCAGCAAGTGGAACCTAGCCCGCTGCTTACTCGTTGGTGACCATGGTTACTTCCCATCTCCTGGATCATTTTCTCTACCATGTGGGGCAGAACTTCCTGGTGTTAATACTGGAGGAGTGGTCAGAGGAGAGAAGGGAAGAGAGATTGGAGGAATGTTGATAAATGTTGCTGGGGACCTCAGTATAGGGATTGGTAGCCAATCTGGATCCCTGGCACAGAGAGTGCTTTGGGCAGCACTGGTGTGTCACTAGGGCTGGGTGCACACCCACACACAGCCTGGGGATAACTTCCACAGCGATGGGCAGAGCTCAGGCCACCAGTGGTGTGAATGGAGAGGCAGTGATAGGGAGGGGTCTCCCACAGGTGGGAGGTGCAGTGGGGCATGTGTATGACCTTTTCAGAGGGGAACCATGACACTTGATCTCCTGGACTAAATGGCCATGGGTGGCTTTTTTTGCCCTGGTAAACAGGAGCTTTGGGCTGGTTTTCAGTCCTGGTGTTGGAGTATTGTAGGTCTGACACATTGCAGATAACCCACTCCCCTTTGAAAGCTCAGGGGGCAGCTGTATGCAGGGGCTGCAGGTGGGGGCTTGTTCACTGGTGCCTGTGCAGAGCTAAGTGTCAGAACCTGTGGAGCCAGGAGTGTTTCCCTTAAGGCACATTTCCTTCTTGGAGCCTGGGCTCAGTCTTGGGCAGTGAGCATGGGCTAAATGCCCCCCATCCCAGTACTCAGCACTTGATCCCTCAATCACTCTATCCTTGGTGAGTAATGGCTCCCCAGAATGGCATGGGATGCAAAGACCCCTGCACTTAAAGTGTCCACACTCCTCATAGGGCAGGAGGCCCCATATCTGTGTACAGATGAAGGGGGTTGTGGGGTTTGGAAGTCCCAGTTCCCTCTGGGGTGAGGTAGGTCCTGAAGGGTGTGCACGTAGATGAATGGATTTGGGGAGGGAAGAATTCTGTGCATGTGGAGGGGGCTCCCACAAACTGCAGAGGCAGGAAAGCCAAAGTGGGTGAGGGACTGGGGCAGACTGTCCTGGCTGGGGTGGTGATGGGTGTGGGGGAGTTGCACAGAATGAGGTGGCGGGTCCGGGGTACAGGTGGGCAGTCTCTGAGGTCAGAGGCTAAGGATGAGGGATCCAGGGAGACATTGCTATGCTGGTGCAGACAAGGTGCTAAGCAGTGGTGGGAGGCAGTGATAGGGAGGGGTCTCCCACAGGTGGGAGGTGAAGTGGGGCATACGTATGACCTCTTTTCAGAGGGAAAGTGACCCTTGAACTCCTGGACTAAATGGCCGTGGGTGGCTTTGTTTGCCCTGGTAAACAGGAGCTTTGGTCTGGTATTCAGTCCTGGTGTTGGAGTACTGCAGGTCTGACACAAATTGCAGATAACCCACTCCCCTTTGAGAGCTTAAGGCAGCTGTATGCAGGAGCTGCAGGTGGGGACTGGACCAGCACCTGAACTCAAGTGCTGGAAGTGGGAGTGGAGGAAAAGGGGTGACCTGAGGGGTTGGGGAGGGAGAATTTGAAAGGCACAGAGCCTGGAAGATGAGTGACGGGAGGCCCTTGTTAGCAGGTGGGAGATGGGAAGAGGGTGTCTGTAGCTCCAGGGCAATAGCCAGTGCGGATGACCTGAACCTCAGTTTTCAGATGATGCCTGTGTGACAGTTTTGCCTCCCAGGAAGCTGTGCCAATGGCCTTGAGCCAAAGTCCTCCAAAAGTCCTAATAGGATAGGCCAGGTTCTGGATCCTGAGTTAGCCTTAGGCATGCCAGGGTGTGAAGGGCCCTGCACAGGGGACAAATGGGCCCCAGGAGAGAACCCTTCTGCCAGCGTTTCCTTCTGCAGAAGGCCCAGATATTTGGCAGTGAAGGAGCCCAGACTTGCCCAACGCTTCCCAGCTTGGGGTGGGTCCAGGTCCGGGTCCAGGGAGGCTGAGAAGAAAGGAAAGAAGTGAGCCCTTGCTTGTGCGCCTCTGCAGCCCAGGTGCCCTGCCTGCACAGACCCGCTAGAGGTGGTAACACCCCCATTTGCTGGTGAGCAAATAGGCTGGGGTGGGAGTTGGTGTCAGGTTACATGGCTTAGTTGATGGCGCAAGCCAGGTCCAAAGCCCATGCTCTTCTCAAACAGCCAGAGGTGGGGGCCGGAAGGAGGGATTGGCTGCTGGGGAGTCTGGTGGGCAGGGCCAGGTGCGCAGGGAAGAAACAAGGCGCCTGGGAGTTCAGGTAAAGAAAGTTGACGGGTATGACCATCGGAGCCGGGGAAGGAAGGGAAAGGGAGCTCTGGGCGCAGGCAGCACGGGCCGGGCAGGTGAGGGACGCGGGTGCGACCTGGCTCTGGCTGGGCGGGAAGAGGCCGGGGCGCCGTTCCACCAGCACTTGCGGGTGCGGAGCGCGATCCCCCGCCTCGGCCCCTCGCAACCGGGAAAGCTCCCAGTTTCAGCTCCAACGCGGCAGGCAGGTGAGGCCGGCGGGGCGGGGCGGCCCTGGCTCCAGGGATTCCCTCCTCACCCCCCAGGCGACCCGCGTTGCCATGGCGACAGCTGGGGTGCCGTCTGCCCCCCGCCCTGCCCCGTGCGGGAGGGGTCGAGTCCCCCGCCCTGGCCGACGCGGAGCCCGCGGGGCTGGAATGCGGGGTCCCGGGCGGCTCGGGGCCGCGCGCCCGGCTCTCCCGGCTGCTTCCGGCCTGGCCCGGGCGGCGGGCGGGGGGAGGGTGGCCCGGCAGGCGAGGGGGAAGGAGCGGAGCCGGGCCCGGCCGACGCGGCTTTGTCTCCTTTGTTCCCGGAGGTGGCAGCGCGGCGCGGGAGGGGCGGGCAGCGGGCGCAGTTTTCCGCCTCTCGGTCTCCGGGTAACAGCTGCGGCTTCGCCAGACCCGGGGGGAAGCCGCCGCGCGCAGAGCCTGACCCGGAGCGGCCGGCGCCCGCCTCGGCGCGCACATCCCGCGGGGCCCGGCCGGGTGGTGAGTGCGGGACTCGGGGCCGGGGCGGCGAAGACCCGGGCTCCCGGGGTGGAAAGGATCGGAGCCTCGATGCATCTGGGCAGGGGCGGCCCGGGCGAGTGGTGGGCGGTTTCGGTGCTGAAAGTTGGGACCACACTCTCCGCGCGAAGGGAAACTCTGGCGGCTCCGCCCGGAACGCGATTGGGAGATTGAGGAGGTGGAGCTGCTCCTCCGCGCCCCCTCCTCGCCGCCGCCGCCGGGGACCGGGCGGCCCCTTCCCCGCCCTCTCAGGGCCACAGATGGGGTCCTCGCCTCGGGGTCCGGGGCCTGGGGAGGGTCGAGGACGAGCCGAGTGGGGAGGTCGGGGCTTCCCCTCAGTAGCAACAGCCCTTCCTGGCTGCTCCCGGTGGGACTGACAAAGGCAGACCTCGAGCCTCGCGGCCCCTAGAGGGGGGCCCTCCTCTCCACACACACACACATTCAGTGGGTGATCCACGAGCGCCTTGGGTCATCGCAGGTGCCTGGTAAATGGTGGATCTCCCCACCCCTCCTCAACACACAGAAAACAGGGCGGGCAGCGGACGCCACTGCACTGTCAATGAGTAACTCACCTCTGTGGTGCACCCTGGGAGCTGAGCAGGAGGGCTGAGCAGGAGGGCGAAACGGGAAGGCTGGTTTCCCACTGACTGGCAGGCAGAGCAAATGTGGGCTGTCCTACGGTCCCTCTGCAGGTGCGGAATGGCGGAGTTTGTGAGCCCCTTTTGTTGGCGAGGACAGCTCCACGGGGATCCGGGAGGTGCCTGCTCTGCAGACAGAAGTTGGGCAGTCTTGGGCCAGCTCAAAAGTCCCAAGGGTGGGCCCGCAGGGTGGGCCTGGAAGAGACTCCAGGCAGGCTTGGGCACAGGCAGAGTGAGGCTTTGGCCGTGAGCCTGAGCAGGGCCTCAGATGTTGGGAGTGGGCAGTAGATCCAGGCTGTGTAAGTTGGGTATGTGAGGTCTGGTTCTAGATCAGCCTTTTCAGTCTGTCCTGGACTGGTCATTAATAAAAATGGAGCCAACGTCTTAACTTTGAGAGATCAAGTGGCTTAAAGGGGGTGTGGGGCCCCTATCTCCCCTACTTGTTGGGTTTTCTTGGCTGTGAAATTGGGGTTTGTTTGCCATGCAGGGAGCATCTGCTCTGTGCTGTCTCTGCAAGTTGCTGGGGCCTCCACATCAGAGCCATATCCCTTCCTTCAAGGAGCTTCAAGTCCAGAGTAGGAGGGTGGAACAGGGAGAAAAGTGACTCCGGTTGGCGTCACTAATGCCAGGCACACACTGCATCAGGTTTATGGTCAGAGCAATCTTGCCTCCCATTGTACAACTAGGAAATCTGAGGCTCGGAGAGCCTGAGGCAGAGCGGCCGTGTCTGTCCGTGCTGGGTAGGTGTGTCCATTCTGTCCACCACATGCAGTGCCTCTTCAGGAGCCTGGGAGGACAGGGGAGGCTCCCCAGCGAGATGATGTTTGGCATAGGAGTTAATGGGACAGAGAGGGAGTGGGCATTCCAGACAGCGCAAGAGCCTGTGCGGCCACTGGAGGAGCGGAAGCAGCCTACGGTTCAGTTCAGGCCGGCAGGAACGAAGAGCATGTGTGGGGGAGCACTGGCATGGATCGGGTGGGAGAGGTGTGGACTAGAGGGGTGGGCCTTTATCCCTCCTGCTCTGGGGTGCCCCAGAGGCTCTTGGGGGAGGGGTGTACTCCAATTCTGCTCAAGGAAAGTCCTGAGAGGTTGGGAGTTGGGGGAGGCTAGATTGGAGGAGCTGGGAGCTGCTCAGTGGCCTGTGGCAGAGATTAAGTGAAATCCTTGTGCCTGAAATGGAGGAGAAAATGTCACTGCTCTTCTTTCTCTCCTCCTTCTGCCACCTGTGGTATGTGGGGAGGAGCAAGTGGTGCTAGGTCCTGTTTCACAGGGGAACCGTGATTGTAGAAGCCTGGCCACTCTCCCTGGAGTGGGTCAGTGGCTGACCTCCCATGTGGCCTGGCCAGGAGCTGTTCTGATCCCGCCGTTTCTTCCTGTTGTCTCCTCATCCAGTGTTTTATTATTATTTTTATTTTTCATCTCCCAAGGCTCTGTCATCCATCGATTCAGCTTTGATTTCACATTTGGGGAGTGGTTTTGTTGCTGCCCCTTGAGGGCTGGAGAACTTTGGCACGCAGTAGGCTCTGAGCAAATATTTGTAAGCAAGTAGGAGTGAATATTGGTCTAACTATAGGACCCTGTGCCCAAGGCCCATCCCTGGCATGTGGTGGCAGGAGAATTGAACAGCAGTCCAGTGCAAGAGGTGGCCTCTGCCCATCCTCAGGTGAACTCTGTCTTCCCAGGGGAAGACACTTTCTTTCCACATCCCCTGGAAACTAGGTAGGGGGCTCCTGGGCAGCCTGGTCTTGCCACGGTCCTGGGATTCTGGCCGGGTTCGAGACTTTCCCTGCTGCCCCCTTCCTCCCGCCCCCTTGGGTGGCAAACAGAGGCAGCCTTGTTCCTCCTCCCATAGAGCTGCCCTGTTTTCTGCACACTAAAAATGGAAACCCCCAAGCTATTTTGGGAGCAGTGCCCAGCCAGGCTGTGACCATGGCCCCCCTGCTCCCACCGGGCTATGGCCACAGTGTCCCAGCTTCCACCAGGCTGCTGGACCCTCCCTGAGCCTTGTGGCCAGCCCTCTTCACTCCGGGGCAGCCTCAGGAGTACCCTGCTCTGGCCTCTGCTGGGATGAGCTGACTAGGAGAAGCAAGCGCTTAGGATGTTTTGCACAGACAGCTTGGCAGCTGGGTGATGGGAGGGGCTGGGCAACGTGGCCTGGGCACAGGCAAGTAGGGGAAGTGTCTCCCAGTCTGAGATGCATTGTCTGTCCCCGCACTGCACCAACCTTGCTGCTCCTGGCTGGGGACCACTGGGGAAGGTGGTGTTGCCATAGTTTCTTGGTTCAGGGACTCAGGAGCCTCAGCTGGGGCCCAAGAAGGGGTCTGTGTGGAGAACAGGCACTCCATCCTGGGGATGGGCCTGGGAACAGCCAGGTATGGCGCCTTCCTCCAGGACACACCCCACTTACCTCACATCTTGGGCCCTGGCACCGTTCTGAACTGCAGGAGAGGAAATGGCAAGAGATGGCCTGACTTCTACAGCTCTCTAGTACGTAGGGCTGGAGCCAAGTACTCTCCAACGAGAGGAGTGCGCGTGAGTGTGCATGTGTAGGTCTAAATGTGAGTGATTGTGCGAATGTCTCTGGTGGGTGAGTGTGACATATCTGTGTGGAGTGTGTGTGCGTGCAGTGTGTGCTTCTGTGTGGGGGGTTGTCTCTATATGGACATGTCTTCATGCGGTGTCTGAACATGGGTGGCTGTGTCTGTGTGTGTCACTGTGCTGTGTGTATAGATGGCATCTGCACCTGTGTGTGTGTGTGTGTGTGTGTGTGTGTGTGTGCGCGCGCGCGCGCGCGCATATGCATGCAGGGTGGGTGGTGTGTATGCATCTTGCAGTTCGAGTGCCTGTCTGCCAAAGTGCTGGTGGCCATTTGGGCTGGGACAGCCCCTGGCAGTGTAGACGGTGTGTGCCTGGGTGCCTTGACGGGATGGTTTGAGCAGAGAGAGGGACCTCACAGGGAGAGGGCCATGCTGGGGGCCTGACTGGGCCCTGCCAGCCATGGGGCTCCTTCCTAGCTGACCTTTCCCAGGCCCCTCGGGTGCCTGGCTCTGCTGCCCTCCCCCTCCTCGTGTGGGCTCTGAGGAGGCGTCCTCTGTGGAATGTGTTTGGTGGCTGGGGGCCAGACTGGGCCCAGCTCCACTGGCAGGCTGGGCGGTGGGGAGGGGGTGCTTCTGTGCTGCCTCCCTGGTGGGGAGCCCAGGACTCCCACATGCCTGCAGCCCAGGCCCTGGCTTTACACTCTGCTTTCCCCCTGCTAGGTGGCTCCCACACGGGTCATGCTGTTGTCTCCTGATCCGGCCAGCCCTGCCAGGTGAGCCGACCTTACACTGAGATAACTGGGAACAGCATGACTCCTGCCTATTCTGAGGGCTCTGGGAGGTGGGGTGCAGCCCTTCAGGCCCCACCTCTGCCAGCTGGAGCCTCTCCCTACTGCCACTGTCTCTCAGGCCTGTTGGTTCTGTGGTTATTACCCTTTTGGATTCCTGGCCTGAAAGGCCCTGCACCCAACTCTTGCCTTCCTCTAACATTCTGCTGGCTCAGGAGACCTCCCCCTCCTTCCTCCTTCTGCCTGGGAAACCATCATCCATGTAGAGCTTCTCCTTTCTTGGGGTCTGGGCCCCTCCTTCTCATTACCTTCTCTCCTGTCCCATCCAGACCCTGCTTCCTGGGCATGGCCCCTGCAGCCCCTCACCCTCTGATGTGGGGGGATGGTGAGTGGGGTGCAAGTCTCCAGAGAGAATAGCACTTGGGGAGAATGAGCAATGTTGTCTAGGGAGAGTGTCTCCTATTTCTTACCTTGTTCTTGTGTGTGGTCCTGGGGTCATCCTGGACATAGTGCCCGTCTAAGAAACCTGGTCCGCCTCTGCTCGCTGTCTAGGTTAGGAGGGGCATCATGGTAATGCCACAGTCCTAGCCCTTACCAGTGGCCCCACGGTGCTCTGGTGGTCATGTGAGCCCCACTCTCTCAACCTCTTTCCTTGCCAGGTGACCATGCCTGCCCTGGGCCCAGCTCTCCTCCAGGTGCTCTGGGCCGGGTGGGTCCTCACCCTCCAGCCTCATCCACCAGCTGCTTTCACTCCCAATGGCACGTATCTGCAGCACCTGGCAAGGGACCCCACCTCAGGCACCCTCTACCTGGGGGCCACCAACTTCCTGTTCCAGCTGAGCCCTGGGCTGCAGCTGGAGGCTACAGTGTCCACTGGTCCTGTGCTAGACAGCAGGGACTGCCTGCCACCTGTGATGCCTGATGAGTGCCCCCAGGCCCAGGCTACTAACAACCCGAACCAGCTGCTCCTGGTGAGCCCAGGGGCCCTGGTGGTGTGTGGGAGTGTACACCAGGGAGTCTGTGAGCAGCGCCGCTTGGGGCAGCTCGAGCAGCTGCTGCTGCGGCCAGAGCGGCCTGGGGACACCCAGTATGTGGCTGCCAATGACCCTGCGGTCAGCACGGTGGGGCTGGTAGCCCAGGGCTTGACGGGGGAACCCCTTCTGTTTGTGGGGCGAGGATATACCAGCAGGGGTGTGGGGGGTGGCATTCCACCCATCACAACCCGGGCCCTGTCGCCACTGGACCCCCAAGCCGCCTTCTCCTACGAGGAGACAGCCAAGCTGGCAGTGGGCCGCCTCTCTGAGTACAGCCACCACTTCGTGAGTGCCTTTGCGCGTGGGGCCAGCGCCTACTTCCTGTTCCTGAGGCGGGACCTGCAGGCTCAGTCTAGAGCCTTTCGTGCCTATGTATCTCGAGTGTGCCTCCGGGACCAGCACTACTACTCCTATGTGGAGTTGCCTCTGGCCTGCCAGGGTGGCCGCTATGGGCTGATCCAGGCTGCAGCTGTGGCCACGTCCAAGGAGGTGGCGCATGGGGAGGTGCTCTTTGCAGCCTTCTCCTCAGCTGCACCTCCCACCGTGGGCCGGCCCCCATCGGTGGCTGCTGGGGCATCTGGAGCCTCTGCCCTCTGTGCCTTCCCCCTGGATGAGGTGGACCGGCTTGCTAATCGCACACGAGATGCCTGCTATACCCGGGAGGGCCGTGCTGAGAATGAGACCGAGGTGGCTTACATCGAGTATGATGTCAATTCTGACTGTGCACAGCTGCCAGTGGTGAGTTCCAGCACTGCCTCACCTTTCCCCCTCTCTGAGGCCGCTGGCCAAGCATTTGCAGCCAACAAGCTGCCCAGAGAGTCTGAGGGCAGCTGGTGGTAGCAGGAGGATGATCAGGTCAGCAGATGTTAAGTGCTTCCTGTGTTGCCTGGGCAGTGGAAGGTACCTTACCACAAGCCTGGCCTGCGGGTGGCAGAGAGCAGTGCCCAGATGGGCTTGGACCAGGATGCTGGAGGAGTGGTACTTGTGTCAGTGGACTAAGAGAGTGTTTGGGGTTCTTGGGTAGGGGCAGGGACCTAGAATGGTGGAATGAGACCTTTGGTTCTTGAGCGGGAGAGGGAGATGAGGTTGGGATTGATGAGCTGTAGCCTCAGGATGGATAAAAAGGGAAGAAGCTGCATGCAGGGGGCTGAGTCAGTGAGAGGCAGGAGAGGGCCCAGGTGAATGGGCTTGGAGCTGGAAAGCAGGCTGTCAGAGGCTTTGGAGAAGTGGTCCAGTAGCAGGCTGACCACATAAACTGGTGGCAGTGCTCCCAGGCCAGGGATGGGAGAAGGTGGGGCCACAGGCAATGGTGGGGATCAAAAGAGGGGAAGGAGCCACTGCAAAGTGTCTAAGGACTGGAGCAGTGCTGGAGATCGGTCCACTGTGATAGGACTAAGTATGTCCCTGGGGGGATGTTGTCCATGGAAGGGTTGTCAGGGAGGGCCCAGAGAGACTGGGGGCAGGGATGAGGTTGTCCCAGGAGGGCCAGCAGAAAAGACACAGTTGTTTAGGGAGAGCTACCAGAGTGGCTAGGGGAGGGAATGAGGTTGTCTAGGGAGGATGGGGCCAAGGAGGTTATCCAGGAAGCGCCTTCCTGATGCTTCTTGTTGCCTATAGGATACCCTGGATGCTTATCCCTGTGGCTCAGACCACACACCCAGCCCCATGGCCAGCCGGGTCCCACTGGAAGCTACACCAATTCTGGAGTGGCCAGGGATTCAGCTAACAGCTGTGGCAGTCACCATGGAAGATGGACACAACATCGCCTTCCTGGGTGATAGTCAGGGGCAGCTGCACAGGGTGAGCCCACAGGAAGTACTAGCCCCTGCCGTAGAGTCTGGAGGGAACAGGTTGCTAGGGACCCAGCCTGGTTTAAGCTATCCCTGGGCCAGGAGAGATGACCCAAGCTCCTCTTCCCAGGGCTGGGTGGTGTCTCCCTGTGACTTTCCTCCATCCTGCCCAGGAGGAAATTCTATCTGTAAATTACTTTGACTGGGTGGAGGAGGGGAGGGCTTTGGGCCTCTGGCCATGGACTTGGGTCCCAGACCCTGTGGTCTCTGATCCCAGGTCTACTTGGGCCCAGGGAGCGATGGCCACCCATACTCCACACAGAGCATCCAGCAAGGGTCTGCCGTGAGCAGAGACCTCACCTTTGATGGGACCTTTGAGCACCTCTATGTCATGACCCAGAGCACAGTGAGTGCCAGGCACAATCCAAGGCATAGCTGCTGGGCGGGGCCTCTGGGTGGGGCCATGGATCCACTTGTGGGTGAGCCACTGGTGTTTGGATTGCTGGCTTCAGATCCTCTTTGTTGACACAGCTTCTGAGGGTTCCCGTGGCCTCCTGTGCTCAGCGCCTGGACTGTGCATCTTGCCTTGCCCACAGGGACCCATACTGTGGGTGGTGCGTACTCCTTGGCAGGTCAGTGTTCCACTGACTCCTGACCCCATCCCAGCCCCAGCCTCAAGCCCACAGTGCTCCCACATAATTGTCCTGTCCAGAATTCCTGACCCTTGGCCCTTGACTCTCAACCCCTGATCCCCAGACACCCTGATTTCCTACCCCCATCCTCTGCACTAGGCATTAGTGGCCTGCCAGGGCAGACACAGGAGCCTGTATCATGCCCACTCTAGGGTCCTGCCCAGGTCTTTCAGATTGTAGGAGTTCCTACCCTCTGAACTCCCAGTGGCCTGTGAGGGTCACAGATAGACACTGGTCATTCTCGCTCAGGTGCAGTCGCCGTTCTGAGTGCTCGAGGGGCCAGGGCCCAGAGCAGTGGCTGTGGAGCTTCCAGCCTGAGCTGGGCTGCCTGCGGGTGGCAGCCATGAGTCCTGCCAACATCAGCCGAGAGGAGAGGAGGGAGGTGAATGATCAGATAGGCAGGGCCCTGGTGGGGAGGGCTCTGGGCATTAAGGTCTGGATAGAGATCTTGGATTCTGGTGTCAGACACGCCGGATACCACATGGCCTCACACAAGTTACTTCTTTTAGGAGCTCAGTTTCCCTGTCTGTTTCTAACTCAGGCCAGAGGGTGTGTGGGGAGGCCTGAGGGCTGTTGACTGCTGGTGCCTGCCCACATTGGGTGCCCCATAAATGTGAGCCCTGGTCTGCTGCCCACTAGCCCCAACAGTGTGTCCCTGGCTCTCTTGGCAGGTTTTCCTATCAGTGCCAGACTTGCCACCCCTGTGGCCAGGGGAGTCGTATTCCTGCCACTTTGGGGAACATCAGAGTCCTGCCCTGCTGACTGGTTCTGGTGTGATGTGTCCCTCCCCAGACCCTAGTGAGGCCCCAGTGCTGCCAAGAGGAGCCGGTGGGTGAGAGAATGGGCCAGCCCCTGCTCCAGGGGATTCGGTGGGGCTAAGGTGTGAATCCAGGCAAAGAGCCATGAATGGATGCCTTTCTCTGAGTCCTCCCACTCCCCAACCACCTGAAGCCTCCATTCTGCGCCCTTGGACTGTGTTCCCTCACCCCCGGTTCTCTTCCCCATCCGGGAGCTCAGGATGTTGGCTCTGGGTCTGAGCGCACCTCTTAGCTGCTCAGCCCTGGTCCTCTCTCCCTCCTCTGCAGACCATGTCTCCGTGAGCGTGGAGCTTAGGTTTGGCACCGTTGTGATCGCCAAAACTTCCCTCTCCTTCTATGACTGTGTGGCGGTCACTGAGCTCCATCCGTCTGCGCAGTGAGTTCCTCGCCCTGTCCCCAGGCCTGGGCTGCCCCATGGCGACCCCTGCCCCATGGCTGTGCTCTGTGCAGGTGCCAGGCCTGTGTGAGCAGCCGCTGGGGGTGTAACTGGTGCATTTGGCAGCACCTGTGCACACACAAGGCCTTGTGTGACTCCGGGCCCATGGTGGCAAGCCGTCAGGTGAGTGTGACTCTGGGCTGGGCCATACGGGGGTTGGGCGGTCCCAGTGTGAGAGTTTTTCTCATGGCTCGGGGCCTGTCTGCCTGTGTGAGGCTCTGTCCTGAGCACTGGGGTCGCTGTGTGTGATGGACTCCCTGGAGAACAGCCGCTGATACATCCCGCCTGTTTTGGGAAAGGGCGTTTGTGGCTGAGAGGCAGGGGAGATCTGGCCTTCATGCCCACCTCGGCACAGACACCCCGGAGCCTTTTTCCGAAGTGTTCTCCTGTGGAGAATTAATGGGCTGTTTTTATTTTTCTTTTCCTTGGTCTCCTTTCCTCTTAACATACCCTGTGCCTGCCTGCCTTCCTGCCTGCCTCCTGTCCCGCGCCTGCCTGCTGAGTGGCCCTTCCTGTCTTCCTCTGCCTCCCCCTTCAGAGCCCGTTTGTCTCCCCAGCCCCTCGTGCAAGAGACGGACCCAGCCCCTCCCCACCCACAGCCTCTAAAGCCCTGGTCACCCCTGCTCCTGACCCCCTTCCTGTGGAGCCTGGGGCTCCCTCCACTGCCACAGCTTCGGACATCTCACCTGGGCCCAGTCCTTCCATGCTCAGCCCCTGGGGCCCGTGGACAGATCCCGGCCCCATACCTTCCCCCACCTCCACAGAGTCACCTCTCCATGAGGAGCCCCCCTCTCCTAGCCCCTCAAATGGGCCTGGAACCGCTCTCCCTGCCCCCACTGACTTCAGACCCACAGACATACCTGAGGACCTCTCGGCCTCCCCGCTGTCACCCTCAGAGGCAGCAGCAGTGCCCCCTGCAGACCCTGGCCCCAAGGCCCTTCCTCCCACAGTGCCCCTGGACCCGCCCCCTGCCACTGTTCCTGCCACCACTTTCCCAGGGGCCATGGGCTCCATGAAGCCCGCCCTGGACTGGCTCACGAGAGAAGGCGGCGAGCTGCCCGAGGCGGACGAGTGGATGGGGGGTGACACACCCGCCTTCTCCACTTCCACCCTCCTCTCAGGTGATGGAGACTCAGCAGAGCTTGAGGGCCCTCCCGCCCCCCTCATCCTCCCGTCCAGCCTCGACTACCAGTATGACACCCCCGGGCTCTGGGAGCTGGTGAGGCCCAGCCCAGGAAGGAGGCCTCAGGGGTGGGGATGTGGGGAAGACGCCAGCCCTAGCTTGTCTGGTGATTCTGCACTGGGAGGGAGTGAGGGGCAGGGTGGGGTCTGCAGCCCCACACCAGCCTTGCCCCTGGAACCCAGTAAGGCAGAGGGCTGAGCTGGGCAGGGTGGGCTCCATAGACTGCCTTGCCCTTGGTGCCTGCAGGAAGAGGTGACCTCGGGGGCAAGCTCCTGCCCCTGTGTGGAGAGCATTCAGGGCTCCACTTTGATGCCGGTCCATGTGGAGCGGGAAATCCGACTGCTAGGCAGGAACCTGCACCATTTTCAGGTCAGTGTGTCCTACCTGCCACTGTTCTTGCAGCCTCCTTGGCTGTTGACAAACTCTGTACAAGCCCTGGGGAGTAGGAAGAGGGCAGAGTCCCAGGGCCCAACCCCACCCAGAGGCTGTGCTGGGGGATCTGTTTGGGGAGCTGCAGGACTCCCTGGGTCCAGCTCCTGAAGCTGCCCAACAGCTGTGTTCTCTGCCCTCAGGATGGCTCAGGAGACAATGAGTGTGTGATGGAGCTGGAGGGCCTCGAGGTGGTGGTTGAGGCCCGGGTCGAGTGTGAGCCGCCTCCAGATACCCAGTGCCGTGTCACCTGCCAGCAGCACCAGGTGCAGACCACGAGCGCCTGGGTGGGCGTGGGTGCACTGCACTGGCCACAGCCTGGCTGCCAACCATAGCTGGCTGCACCACATTTTCCAGGCCCACGCTCTGACCCTGTGGCCCTGAGGGAGTCTCCGCACCCATTTCTGACTTCTGACCACGTGCATCAGCTGGGAGTCCTTGCATCCCAGCTGTGATCTCTAACTTGAGACACCATGGGGTTCGCATACTCCAGTTCTGCCTCTGCCTTCCAACCTGTGGTCCCATGGGGTCTCTCTGACCCTATGCTCCTAACTAGTCGTTTTAGTCCTTTCTCTGACTGTCGCCTTCCCAGGCCTGATGCTTCCCCCAGTGCTTGGCTCTGACCCCACTCCCATTTCTCCAGTTCAGCTATGAGGCTCTGCAGCCAGAGCTCCGTGTGGGGCTGTTTCTGCGTCGGGCTGGCCGTCTGCGTGTGGACAGTGCTGAAGGGCTGCATGGTGAGCCACCTGCGGGCTGCTGGGCTGCAGTGGTAGCAGGGTCCTCCCAGGCCTGCCTCTCAGGTGCATCTCTGCCACCCCCAGTGGTACTGTATGACTGTTCCGTGGGACATGGAGACTGCAGCCGCTGCCAAACCGCCATGCCCCAGTATGGCTGTGTGTGGTGTGAGGGGGAGCGTCCACGTTGTGTGACCCGGGAGGCCTGTGGTGAGGCTGAGGCTGAGGCTGTGGCCACCCAGTGCCCAGCGCCCCTCATCCACTCGGTTTGTTGAAAGGCTGGCCATCCCTTCCTTACTGCTGCTGTTGGAGGGAGGGTGTGGGGGCCCAAAGGTGGGAAGTTGGGCTGCCTTTCCAGGTGAGTAGAAGTGAGCAGTCCTTGTCCCGGAGCAGGTGGAGCCACTGACTGGGCCTGTAGACGGAGGCACCCGTGTCACCATCAGGGGCTCCAACCTGGGCCAGCATGTGCAGGATGTGCTGGGCATGGTCACGGTGGCTGGAGTGCCCTGTGCTGTGGACACGCAGCAGTATGAGGTCTCCAGCAGGTGAGCTGGCTGCACCCAGCAAGGAGCATGGCATTCCCTGGGACCTTTGTGGTTGGCTTTGCTGCTCAGGGCCTCCCGTCCACCACTCATCCACCCCCTTTCTCCCTGTTTCTTGATTCTGGCCATAATGCTGGAGTGCTGGGATTGCCACTGAAGCCCCCGAGCACCCACAAGACCTGTAGGTTCTTGGCATGGGCTACTGGGGAATCCTTCCTGGGCCTGTCACTGCCCCGAGCTGACTGGTGGCTCTGCTTCCCTCGTCTTCTGAGGGACTGTGGATATATTAATAGCTGTGGCAGCACGGCCCTTAGATCAGACAGATATGCTCCGGGGCTGGCCTTCTCACCAGCTCCCTCTTCTTCCCCAGGTATTGCCCTGGGCCGCCAGGCTCCTCAGAAGGGTAAACTTAGGGCATATCTGCCAAGGGCCAGGCTCCACTGTCACCTCTGGGGGCCCCTGCTGCCTTCCTGGGGCTCACTGCTCACTGAGATTCTGGGTTATGGTAACCTGGCCAGCGGTTACAGGCCCCAAAGTTGTACGTGCAGGACACTCCTAAGGAGATGCTCACAAGCAGCAGGGCCCAAACCTGGCTATCAGGGTAACCTGCAGACCCTGCCCCAAACCAGATCAAACAGACCAGATCCCAACTCCCCCCTCAGACATCTGGATTCAGGAAGCCCACAGTGGGACCCCAGATCTGTGTTTGAAACAAGGAACCACTCTGCTAAAGCATGGAGTTTCCCTTGAATGTGTTATGACCAAGAACTGAAGGTGTCTATCTAGACTGTTAACACTCCAAAACCATAAGGCTAAAGTGACTTATGGAGCAATTAGCATATATCCTGTCCGGAGCCTCCCCTGCGTGGCTTACGTCACTTGTCTTCCCAGTGTTCGAAACAACTGTGACAATGCCACTGAGTTGAGCTGCTGCAGGCTTAACATTCTGGAAGTTAATTTGCCCAAGCTTCTGTTTTCTGGCTAAGAACCAGCATTTTCTTAGACAGTTCACCTTCCCTTCACATGTATTCCTCTGTCTAACTAGAGGCTTTCAGGGACTCTTTTTCCTGAATAAATCAAGTTTCTACCATGCTTTGAGTGGGTACTGTGAATGTGACATGGCAGAGGACGTGGGCGGCTGGCTGTGCCCACTCACTAGCTCAGCAGCTCGCCCCACAACCAGGCTGACAGGGCCCCTTTGTAAATTTGTGCCACAGATAAATTATTCCTTGCTGGGGGGCTCTGGTGTTGAACTTAAATGATCAAAACTACAAATATTAATTCTCAGATACCAAGGCCTTTTGATGTGTCATAAAGAATTCCCTTCAAAGTGAGAGAGGGTCTCTGTTAATCTTGTGGAGGATGGGGAGGGGAAGATCACCTGACAGTGGGGCAGGCAGAGGGGTTGCCAGGTAAGCTTGAGGGGGGCCCTCGGTGCAGCCTGGCACCCCATAGCCTGCCCTGTGCCCGCAGCCTCGTGTGCATCACCGGGGCCAGTGGGGAGGAGGTGGCCGGAGCCACAGCGGTGGAGGTGCCAGGAAGAGGACGCGGCGTGTCAGAGCACGACTTTGCCTACCAGGTACCTGACTGCTGAGCCACCCCCAGCTGCCAGTGGACCACCCTTCTGGCGGCTCCTCTCAACCCATCTGGCTATGGCTTGGTGGGGTTCCCAGCCCTGGGCCATCCTGTCTTTCAGGTGGTCCCACCTCCCTGTTTCTGGTCTGATGCTCATCTCTCTCCCTGCCCTTCCCACAGGACCCAAAGGTCCATTCTATCTTCCCGGCCCGCGGTCCCAGAGCTGGTGGCACCTGCCTTACACTGAATGGCTCCAAGCTCCTGACTGGGCGGCTGGAGGACATCCGAGTGGTGGTTGGAGACCAGCCTTGTCACTTGTGAGGGCCACTTCCTCTTCCTGCAAAAATCCATGTCCTCCCGGGGGAAGATGGAGGGGGCTGGGATGCTGAGGAGAGCAGAAAGGGGAAAGGGCCAGTCTGCTCCTTCTGAGAGTGGCCAGACCCTCCCTAGCTGGCTGTCGTGGGAGTGCACCTCCAGGGACACCTGGTGGAGACTGCAGTCAGCGCTAGAGGAAGGACAGCTGGGGCCTGAGTGGTCTGAGATTCCCCTGCCTGCACCCCTCCATTCATTCCCACCTCCCCTCCCAGGTTGTCGGAACAGCAGTCAGAACAGCTGCGGTGTGAGACCAGCCCACACCCTGCGCCTGCCACGCTCCCTGTAGCTGTGTGGTTTGGGGCTACGGAGCGGAGACTTCAACATGGCCAGTTCAAGTACACCTCCGACCCCAACATCACCTCTGCTGGCCCCACCAAGAGCTTCCTCAGGTGCTGGGCCAAGGGCGAGGCTGCATGGCAGGTGGCAGGGAGATCTTTGCAGCTCCACTCTGTGGGGGTTTGTAGGGCTTTATGTTGGGGTGCTGAGAATCCCATGCTGCTGGTAGGGGTGAAGGGTCATGTGGTTTGGGGCTGGGGCTGGGCTGTGCTTTAGGTCCAGGTCACGTAAGCCATCAGTGGCTCATGGTCTGTTTCAGTGGAGGGCGTGAGATACGGGTCCATGGCCAGAATCTGGATGTGGTGCAGACGCCAAGAATTCGAGTGACCGTTGTCTCAAGAATGCTGCAGCCCAGCCAGGGGCTTGGACGGAGGCGCCGCTTGGTCCCGGAAACGGCGTGTTCCCTGGGACCCTCCTGCAGTGGCCAGCATGTAGGACACCTTTGGGTACCTCCACACTCTCCCCTTACCCCACACCCTGGGGACAGCCAGAGCAGGTGCCAGAGGAGGCTCTTTCCATGTTTGCTTGGTCCCCTCATCAACCTGCCTGTCTTCCTTCCAGTTTGAGGAGCTGTGCCACATCAACTCCTCCCACCTCATCACGTGCCGCACACCCGCCCTCCCGGGCCTGCCGGAGGACCCCTGGGTCCGGGTGGAGTTTATCCTTGACAACCTGGTCTTTGACTTTGCAACACTGAACCCTACACCTTTTTCCTATGAAGCCGACCCTACCCTGCAGCCACTCAACCCCGAGGACCCCACTATGCCGTTCCGGCACAAGCCTGGAAGTGTGTTCTCCGTGGAGGTACTGCTTCTACTTGGACCTGGCAGGGCCTCAAGACCTTTCCCTTGGCTGGATAGCACCGGTGTGTGTGGCAGAGGCCGAGACAGTAGAGCAGGGGCTGGTGGATAGACATGGCTCCTCGTCCTTGCTGTGGTGGGGCAGACGGGGCTAGCGGTGGGTTGCCTAGCTTAGCATCTGGCATGGCCTTGACTGCTTGGCTGGTGGCCGGGGTCCTGATGCGTTCCATGGCAGGCTCTGGAACGACTGCATTCATATGTTCGGCCTGTGTAGTAACTGGGTGGCGTGGTCCATGCAGGCCACTGGGCTGACACCCCATTGGCAGCCTGGCTCACATGGATGTGTGCTAGGCACATGTCTTGGACATACGCAGTGGGTAGCAGATGGGCATGCAGGCAGACCACAGGTAGATACACCATCATTACCTAGCTGGTGAGCTATCAGACACAGAGTGGGGCTCTGGTTTTGTTAGGTAACTGGGCAGGATTTGGGAGACAGCTTTATGTTCTCTGGATTTTTCATTCTGGGGTGGAAGGATAGGGAAGGGCAGAGAAGGGTGATAAGGATCAGCATGGAGGATACCATGTGACTGGCCTGCACACAGGAGAAGGGTGCTGAGAGGCTGTCAGCTCAGCCCTGCTGCTGGGAGTGGGTCTCAGGGTCCTTCCCACATTTGGGGAGGACAGGATCTGAGTGACTGATCGGTGACCCTCTGTTCCAGGGGGAGAACCTGGACCTTGCAATGTCCAAGGAGGAGGTGGTGGCCATGATAGGGGACGGCCCCTGTGTGGTGAAGACACTGACCCGGCACCACCTGTACTGTGAGCCCCCCATGGAGCAGCCCCTGCCACGGCACCATGCCCTCCGAGAGGCACCTGACGCTTTGCCTGAGTTCACGGTCAGTGGGCAGGTCCCTGGCTGGGCGGGCATTGATCTGGGCTGAACCCTCGCTCACAGGTGGCTCCCAACACAGGTGCAGATGGGGAACCTGCGCTTCTCCCTGGGTCACGTGCAGTATGACGGCGAGAGCCCTGGGGCTTTTCCTGTGGCAGCCCAGGTGGGCTTGGGGTTGGGCACCTCTCTTCTGGCTCTGGGTGTCATCATCATTGTCCTCATGTACAGGTGGGTACAGCCAGATGTGGCTGGGCTGGGGCAGGTCATCGGATCTGGCTGGACTGGGAAGGGACAGACAGGGCTAGAAGTCCGCAAACTTTCTCTGTAAATGACGAGAGTAAATATTTTAGGCTTTGCAGGCCAAGTGGTCTTTGCTCAACAACTCAACTTTGCTACTGTGGCACACAAGTGGCTGGGGCGACGTGTAAACACACGGACGTGGCTGCATTCTAACAAACCTTTATTTATTAAAAGAGGTTGTGGGACAGATTCCGCCCGGTTGTGGTTGGCTGATCTCTAGGCCAATCTGCTGGGCTAGACAGGGCATAGGTGTGTGTGACTTGCTTGGGAGGGGACAGGCTGAATTGTACCGAGCTAGGCTTAGGCTTGGCTGGCATGGCTGGGTTGGACTGTGCTGGATGTAGCCAGGGTATGCCTGGGGCTAGGTCAGGCAGGGCTGGGCCAGTATGACCCAGTGAGGGTCTTGGCCTCATCCGGCTGTCCCCTCCTGACCCTGGTGCTGAGCAGGAGGAAGAGCAAGCAGGCCCTGAGGGACTATAAGAAGGTTCAGATCCAGCTGGAGAATCTGGAGAGCAGTGTGCGTGACCGCTGCAAGAAGGAATTCACAGGTGTGGCCGGGAGAATGGGCCTTGCTCTCCAGGCTCTGTCCAAACCTGCTCCTATTGCATGGGATTGTTGCCCAAATCTGGCCTCTTCTGCTTAACAGACCTCATGACCGAGATGACCGATCTCACCAGTGACCTCCTGGGCAGTGGCATCCCCTTTCTTGACTACAAGGTGTATGCGGAGAGGATCTTCTTCCCTGGGCACCGCGAGTCACCCCTGCACCGGGACCTGGGTGTGCCTGAGAGCAGACGGCCCACCGTGGAGCAAGGGCTGGGGCAACTCTCTAACCTGCTCAACAGCAAGCTCTTCCTCACCAAGGTGCCCCCACCTGCACCCTCCTGGTCCGCCCCTGGCCCTGCCCCTTTTCCAGGGCATGGTTTCTGAGCCTGCCCCTCTGTCCCCCTAACCCTATTTTCCTGTTCCTCTCTTTGAGTGCAGTTCATTCACACGCTGGAGAGCCAGCGCACCTTCTCGGCTCGGGACCGCGCCTACGTGGCATCTCTGCTCACTGTGGCGCTGCATGGGAAGCTTGAGTACTTCACCGACATCCTCCGCACCCTGCTCAGTGACCTGGTTGCCCAGTATGTGGCCAAGAACCCCAAGCTGATGCTGCGCAGGTTTGTGTGGCTGCTGGGTCTGGGTGGGCCCTGGACGGCTGGAGCTGGGATAGGGCCTCGGGCTGGGGGTCTGCAGGATACAGAGGCCCGCAGTCCCGCCTGCTGACCCTGGCACTCCCCTTTCCTGTCATCCCAGGACAGAGACCGTGGTAGAGAAGCTGCTCACCAACTGGATGTCCATCTGTCTCTACACCTTTGTGAGGGTGAGGGGCAGAGGTGGATAGGGCTCCCATCCACGGAGGGTCAGGCCCTCCAGACCTCTAAGCCCTCAACCACCATGCAGCTTGGACACTTGTGCCAGAGCAGAGACTCCTGCTTAGCCTGTCCTCAGTCCCCTTATGCCCATGTCCTGTCCTGCTCCCCAGTGTGTGTCATGTCGCATAACCTCTGCCACCTGCCGGGGGGCCCCTAACTGCCTGCACCCCTCCAGGACTCTGTAGGGGAGCCTCTGTACATGCTCTTCCGAGGGATTAAGCATCAAGTGGACAAGGGGCCAGTGGACAGTGTGACTGGCAAGGCCAAATACACCCTGAATGACAACCGCCTGCTCAGAGAGGACGTAGAGTACCGTCCCCTGGTGAGGGTGTGCGTGTGTGTGTGGAGTACCGTCCCCTGGTGAGGGTGTGCGTGTGTGTGTGGAGTACTGTCCCCTGGTGAGGGTGTGCGTGTGTGTGGCCTGCAGTGTGAGTCTGAGGTGAGGGTGAGGGTTGAGGGTATGTGGGTGTGTTGGGTCTGAACACCAGCTTCTGATGTGGGTACCTGGATGGAGAGCTGGGCTGACCTCTGGCTGGCTGCTGGAGAGAGCCTGTCAGACTAGCTTAGCAGGATAGCAGCTTAGGGCAGACATTGATGATAACGGCTCTGGGTGCCCCAGGCTAGGGATGAAACCCAGGTAGCCACAACCAGGGTTTGGGAGGAGCCAGCCCTGCCCTGGACATGGGAGCTGCGCCAGGGCCTGACCCTGTCTGTCTGGCCCTACCAGGGATGCGCCTTGCCTACCACGCCAGCCCCACTCTGGCAAGCACTTCTCTCCAGGTTCGCTTTCCCCTTAGTTATGCACAAGGATTCCTATGGGAAACCCACATTCAGGCCTGCTGAGCCCCTCCCCTGTCAGATGGGTGGGAATATTTGCTCATGCAGGCTTCCCAAAGCTCCTGCAGCTTGACCCATTCAGCCAGGAACCTGGGGACTGGTGCTCACTCATTTTTTTCTGCCATTTACCCCGTAGTCATTTATAAGTGCACTGTGCTAGGTGCTGGGGTCACAATGGGGAAGAAGCTGCTGTCCCTGGGGAAGGCAGGCAGGTGAAGAGATGAGAGGGAATGTGTGGTGTGTGGGGGTCAGAGGCAGTGACTCCTGTGAGTTGTCTCTGCCCTTGGCCTGTGTCTTGGTCATCCTGAGTGTTCATGAATCCTGACGGCTTCTGTGTGTCCTGCATAGACCTTGAATGCGCTATTGGCTGTGGGACCTGGGGCAGGAGAGGCCCAGGGCGTGCCTGTGAAGGTCCTCGACTGTGACACCATCTCCCAGGCCAAGGAGAAGATGCTGGACCAGCTTTATAAAGGAGTGCCTCTCACCCAGCGGCCAGACCCTCGCACCCTGGATGTTGGTGAGGGCATGGAGGGCCCCTGCGGACCTGAGCCAGTGTTGGGCCTGGGATTGCCTTGCTCTGCAGGGACAGCTCATCACTCAGGGTGGGTAGGACGCTGGGAGGCAGGCAGAAGCCGGCTCTGGAGCATCTTTGTTGGACAGCCTCTCACCTGGGGAGGGGTCCCTGCTCTTGGTCTTTGGAGAGGTTGAGTAAGGCTGCCCCATGTTGGAGGGACTGGTGTTCTTGTGGAGGAAGAGATGGGCTTCACTGTGGGAAGGGTATCCTGCCAGCCTTGCACCCAGTCCTGCCTTGCCCTTGCAGAGTGGCGGTCTGGGGTGGCCGGGCACCTCATTCTTTCTGACGAGGATGTCACTTCTGAGGTCCAGGGTCTGTGGAGGCGCCTGAACACGCTGCAGCATTACAAGGTGGGAGGGGTGGGAGCTGGAGGAGGGGCTTGTGGGGAGGGACTGGTGGAGGGATCACCAGCTGTGCTCAGCAGGTTCCAGATGGAGCAACTGTGGCCCTTGTTCCCTGCCTCACCAAGCATGTGCTTCGGGAAAACCAGGATTATGTCCCTGGAGAGCGTGAGTACCGCTCCCATCACAGCCCTCTGCTCCTGCTGTGCCCAGCCCTGAGTCATGGGGAAGGTCCTTTGGGCCTCAGGGCAGGCTTGTGCCTATTTCCTTTTTGCCCAGGGAAGCCCTCAACCACGTGCCCCCACCCCTGGGAGAGCTGGCAAGATCCAGGGGGCCTGGGGAGGTGGCACCTGGGGAGGGGTGACAGCTGTGGGCTCTTGGAACAGGGACCCCAATGCTGGAGGATGTAGATGAGGGCGGCATCCGGCCCTGGCACCTGGTGAAGCCAAGTGATGAGCCAGAGCCGCCCAGGCCTCGGAGGGGCAGCCTTCGGAGTGGGGAGCGTGAGCGCGCCAAGGCCATCCCTGAGATCTACCTGACCCGCCTGCTGTCCATGAAGGTGGGATGGGGGCTGCCAAGGTGGTGGGGCCTGTGCTGAGGGGGAGCAGGGCCACTCATGGGATTTGGGGGTGGTGTGGGGCTCATGCAGGCACAGTACTGGGGGTGTCTGAGTCTGGGCTGCTGCTGAGGCCCCCTTGCTGATGTCACCTCCCTGCTTCCCCTTCCCGCAGGGCACCCTGCAGAAGTTCGTGGATGACCTGTTCCAGGTGATCCTCAGCACCAGCCGACCTGTGCCGCTCGCTGTTAAGTACTTCTTTGACTTGCTGGACGAGCAGGCCCAGCAGCATGGCATCTCCGACCAGGACACCATCCACATCTGGAAGACCAACAGGTGGGGTGGAGCCGGGTGGGCTCGAGGTGTGTGTGTGGGTCTTCTCTTCTGCCTCCCCAGCACACTCATGGGCCACGCTTGCCCTACCCACAGCTTGCCTCTGAGATTCTGGATCAATATAATAAAAAACCCGCAGTTTGTGTTCGACGTGCAGACATCTGATAACATGGATGCGGTGCTCCTTGTCATTGCACAGACCTTCATGGACGCCTGCACCCTGGCCGACCACAAGCTGGGCCGGGTGAGTGAGTCTAGAATGGACGCGGAGGGGGATGGGTGAGGGTGGACAGTGCTGTGTGTGCACTCAGATTCCAGGCTTTTCTGAGAATTTCAAGGAGAGGTTAAGGGGGAGATGTCTGACATCCCCAGGTCAAGGCTTCATCCTAGGGGCACCCTGGAAGGTGGCAATGCCTCAGTCTTAAGGGATGAGCAAGAGGAGGGGGCATTGTGTGCCAACTCACAGGTGAAGTTGTGGGCAGCAAGTGCAGCCTGGTGTGGCTGGCTGTGGCAGGATTACTCCTGAGGCAGTGGGAGCCACAGAATGTGTGGGAACAGGCCTGAGAGTTTGGTGGAACGTTGTGGCTGCTGTGCATGGATGAGCTGAGAGGGAGTTCTGAGAGGGCGCTGTGCTGTCTTCCTGACAAGCAGTGGCTGGGTTCAAGCTGAGCAGGAGGGTGCAGGGCAGGCAGAAGCTGAAGGTTGGATGTGGGGGATGAGGAAGAAGAAGGGGTCACATATCCCTGGGCCTCTGGCTATGGTAAGCTTAGACTTGGAGGAGGTGAGTCTGGTGTTTGTGGGGTTTCCAGGTACAGACACGAATTATTCAATCCTGGAGCAGCTCCGGGCTGCTGGGTGGGTTTGATTTTTTAGGGTGCTGGAGGTGTCTGCCTGCCAGTGGGGAAGTAGGGAAGAGAGTCCAGGGGGTGTCATGGTTTGAGGGACGTGTGCGGAGGGGAGCTGGGAAGCACAGGAGACTGAGTGGTCTGAGCCATCCAGGAGCACAGAGTTTGGGAGTCTGTTGTCATAGCAGTCAAGGCCGGGAGTCCCCTGACATATGGGGTCCCCAGGGTGTCTGCTCAGACGCCCAGCGGGCAGGGCCCTCGTGTGACTCTGCAGGTCCGTGAGTGGGGCTCTGCTTAGCCTAGACCCACAGGTCTCAGTTGGCTTGGGACCTCTTGAGAGATACATCCTTACCCCTCTGGGAAAAATCAAAATTAGCTGGGTACGGTGGCTCACGCCTAGAATCCCAGCACTTTGGGAGGCTGTGATGGGTGGACCACCTGAGGAGCACAGGAGTTTGAGATCAGCCTGGGCCACATGGCAAAACCTCATCTCTACAAAAAATACGAAAATTAGCCAGGAGTGGTGGTGTGCACCTGTGGTCCCAGCTACTCGGGAGGCTGAGGTAGGAGGATGGCTTGAGCCTGGGAGGTTGAAGCTGCGGTGAGCCATGAATGCGCCATTCACTGTACTTCAGCCTGGGTAACAGCGCGAGACCCTGTCTCAAACCAAAAACAGAAACGGAAAGTTCTATCCAAAATGGAAGCACTGTCTTTTGGGAGCCATTTTTGTTCCACATGCTGTCATCATTATGCCTATAATGAGCTAAGAACCAAAGTGCCACACCAGGACCTGGAGGGCCACCTCCAGGCTGGACCCTATGTGGTGGCTGGAACTTTTGCCAGATCTTCCCAGTACCACCCTTTCCCAGCAGAACAGCAAATGGCTCCTGGGTAGCTCAGGAGTAGCCTGAATCAGGAGTGCCAAGGGGTCCCCTCATGGGGAATTGTCGAGAAGGCAAAAATCCTGACTCAGGTCATGGGAGGAACTGGTCTTGGGTCCCTGCTCACAGGGGACAGTGTTACCTCGAGATATTTCTCACCTTCTCAGCAGCTCTAGGATGAAGAGAGGGCATGAGAATAGAAGTATGCTGCCCAGCCGGGCGCAGCAGCTCAAGCCCTGTAATCCCAGCACTTTGGGAGGCCGAGGCAGGCAGATCACCTGAGGTTAGGAGTTTGAGACCAGTTTAACCAATATGGTGAAACCTCGTCTCTACTAAAAATACAAATATTAGCCGGGTGTGGTGGTGGGCGCCTGTAGTCCCCGTTACTCAGGAGGCTGAGACAGGAGAATCGCTCGAACCTAGGAGGCGGAGATTGCAGTGAGCCGAGATCGTGCCACTGCACTCTGGCCTGGGCAACAGAGCAAGACTCCATCTCAGAAAAAAGAAGTATGCTGCCCAGAGCCCATGGCTGCTGGACTGAACCCAGTTCAGTGGTAGAGGCTGTGTCTGGGTGTGTTAAAGTGGTGGGAACTGACTGGACAGACCTGCTTCAAACCTGAGCTCAGCCACCGGGAAGGAAGGTGGTCTGCCTGCTGCATCTTCCCACTGCTGTGCCTCTCTTGGTGGCACGGGTGTCCCCTCCACCCATTTCACTCCCATACTGTAGGTAATGTTCTGGGTCTCAGTTTGCTGATTTTTAAAATGATGATCCCGGGAGTGAACCTTATGCTTCTTGCCCTGCGTACTCACCTTTTGCTGGATCTAGACGGAGTCATGTGGAGCTGAGAAATGATTTCCAATGACATCAGAGACTGGACATTGGTGGAGGGGAGGGAGCAGAGGAGGCTCTTGTGGACGGAAGTAGGCTAGGGTGACCACCTGTCCTGGTTTTCTGGGACTCGGGCTTCCTCATTTTCCGAACGGAAGCAGTGCTGAGAAACCCAGGACACTTGGTCACCTGAACAGGGGCCCTCATCCTTCCTTCCTTCCTTCCTTCCTCTTTTGCTGTCCTCCTGCTGTGTCCAGGACTCCCCGATCAACAAACTTCTGTATGCACGGGACATCCCCCGGTACAAGCGGATGGTGGAAAGGTACTGGAGGGCGAGATGGGTAGAGGTTGGAGGGTGTGTGCAGCTGAGGCCCAGAGGGTGGGCTTTGGTGGGGTCGGGGGGGGGTGGGCTTGTTTACCCAGCAGCTGCTGTGCCCTGGCTTTCTGGCAGGTACTATGCAGACATCAGACAGACTGTCCCAGCCAGCGACCAAGAGATGAACTCTGTCCTGGCTGAGCTGTCCTGGGTAAGGCCTCCCTCTGCTTCTTAGGTGTGGCCTCCTGCCACAACGGTCCTGCCCCCTTCACACTGCCCCTTTGCAGGGAAGCCCTTGGGAACCTCAGCAGCCCTGTGAGCTGGTTGGGGCAGGACACATAAGTGCAGAATGTTCCAACTGCCACTGAAAGACCAGGGTCCCCACCATCTCATCACAGAGCAAGCAGGTGTCTTGTTCTGGCAGCTGCCATGTACCCTGACTCAGCCAGGCGCTTGCAAGGTAGCTGGGATTTGGCCCCAGGCCTGCCTGGGTATGCCTGCATGCATTTTCCCACTGCTGTGCCTCCCTTGGTGGCACAGGTGTCCCCTCTACCCCTCCCACTCCTAAAACAGCCCAAAAGTGTAACTGCAGGGAGTTTATGAGCAATGTTTCTGAAATGATGATGATGACAACCGCAATACTCATAGCAGCTGTGCTTTTGGGGTGTTGTGTGTGAAGCCCTTCATGGGGTGCTTTGATTGTCTTATTTGATCCTCACAAGAACTCCACAAGTTAGGTGACACCAACTCCATCGACCAGATGAGGAAGTTGAGGCTCAGAGATGGTCCCACGGAGGGGCCTGAGAGTGACCTCAGGAAATGCTTGAGTTAGACCAGAGTAGAATCATGCCAGGCTGTCAGCCTGCAAGAAGCATCTGTGCCACTTGGCTCTGAAGTCACCTGGTGGCAGAGAGCCTGGGCTAGAACCTTGAGGGGGTGAGAGTAGAAACCCCAGACCTTGCTGAAGCAGGTAGACCTGGGCTGTCTTCCTAGTAAGGAGGCCCCCTTGCCCTGCCCTGTTGTGTCCCCAGCTGGGAATGCCTGGCCCGGGGTCCCTGGGCCTTGGAGGGGACTCTGCTTCCCACTGCAAGGCTCATCCCTTTCTCTACCTCTGAGGTCCCCTTCTCCCCCATCCCTTCCCTGGGGTCCTGGGCCACCTCCTGTGGCTGGCTGCAGCCTTCATCTCTCTCACCTCTCATTTGGCCTCTTCCTTAGAACTACTCCGGAGACCTTGGGGCGCGAGTGGCCCTGCATGAACTCTACAAGTACATCAACAAATACTATGACCAGGTGGGCAGGCCCTGGGCCCCAACTGGGAGGCTGACCCAAGGCCTCCCAGGAGGCTTGAGTTAGACCAGAGCAGAATCATGCCCTGGCCCTGTGACTCACGGTGGGGGCCTTGGTCTCCCCCAGGGACAGCATAGCGGAGGGCTGGGCCTCTTGTGGTTTGGGAAGTGTTCTCCAGGTGGGCTTCCTGGTATTGGCTGTGCTCTCACCCATCCCACCACTCCCTATTCCAGTTCCCCAGCAGGGCGGCAAGGCACAGTGCTGATGGTTGTGGGGGCTGAGGGGCCTACCAGGGCTTGGAGAAGGTGTGTATCTGCTGAGTTGGCAGCATGTTGGGCATGGCCAACATGCAGGTGCAGGCCTGGCTTGGCCACATGAGCTGCCAAGAGGAGAGTCCAGGCACAGGACCAGGGCCGTGAGGGTACCATGGAGGTGCTGAAGCTTTTTGGAGGATCCTTGGGCTGGGCCTGAAGATCTGAGCACCTGCCAGTGAACCTACTGGGTGCCTGTTGGAATAGTCCACTTAGATGTTTGTGTGGCACCAGTAACATGGCTGTTGCTGCTCAGAGATGAGGAACCCGCCTCATGGGCCCACAGCCTTCCTGGGCATGGTGTGGGCCATGGCATGGGGCGTGGGGGAGGCAGGGTATAATGCAGGCATGTCCCTTTGTGGAGACATGGTGGGCAAGGGCTGTTTTCCCAAGTGCTGCTGCCCTCCCAGTTCCTACCGGTTCCCTTTGTGGTAGCCCCCAATTTGTGATTCGTGTTTGATCAATGTCTGTTTTCCCACCACATGTGTCTGGTCATTCTTGGGTCTCTGTCCCTCGTCTGGCACCTGGCAGACAGGAACTTGGGAAATGCTGTTGCTTGGTGGGGGGGTGAGCCAGGATGGCTGCAGCAGGGCTTCTGAGGGGCTCGGCACAGAGTAAAGTCCTTCATTTCCTACCTTATTAATTCTGAAACCCCACGTGGCTTTGATATTGTTATCCCTCCCGCCGATGAGGCCCCAAGGTCACAGAAAGTACATGAAGCGACTAGCTGGGTTTTTTGGCCTACTACCCCACTCGTGCTACAGTGTTTTAGGAGGCCTATTTAATTCTGCAGCAAACATGTTGGCCAGAGAAGTCTCCCCTGATGGCATCTGTCTCTGTTTCAGATCATCACTGCCCTGGAGGAGGATGGTACGGCCCAGAAGATGCAGCTGGGATATCGGCTCCAGCAGATCGCAGCTGCTGTGGAAAACAAGGTCACAGATCTATAGGGACCCAGGAGCTACAACCTGCTATTGCCTCAGCCTGGCCGGGGCAGCCCTGGAAGCTTGTGGGAGAGGCCACCCTCTTAGGTGCCTGTAGTGACTGACAAGCAGAGTTAGTGGAAGGTGACTCCCCGTCTCCTGGTGGCTCTGGCCTCAGGCCTGCTGGACCCACCTCCCAGGCCCCGGGGCCTCAAGGCTCATGGGGTGGTACCCAGCCTGCTCCCCGAACCCAGCAACCCTGTGACACCGGTCTGCAGGGAGTTGGGGACTAAGGGCTTCCAGAGAGTGGCAAGAGCCTCCAGGCCCCTGGGGAGACTGTACTGTTTCTGAACACTGGCCTTGGCCCCACTGGGATTCAGAGAGGAAGGAGGAGCGCCCCACGCTTCCTGTCTGCCTCCTCTACCATCCCTGACCTCAGTTGAGCTGCCTCTGGCCTTGTTGCTGCTGCCACATTCTAGGTCTAAGAGATAAACACCTCTCCTAGGCCACTGCAGACGGACCCCTCAGCAAGGCTGGCTGCCACAGGCTGCCCTGCCTCACAGCCATGGTGAGGGCCATCTGCTGCAGGGGGCTCTTGGGGAGAGTGGTGGCTCCATTGACCCAGCTCTTAATTAAAGGCCAAAACACTGCACAGAATCTGATGTGTGAGCCTGGCCCAGCCCCTCGCTACTAGGAGGGTGGCAGCTATGCCTGGCAGGTACCAGGGGGAGGTGGTATCTGCACCCTGGGAGAGTCTCATGGTCTCCCCATCATATCCCAGACTGCAGGACTGGCTGAGGCGCTCCTTGACCCCTGAGCAGGGCCTTGTGGGGGTCACAGCTTCTGTGAAGTAAGAAGCGCATCTGGGGCAGGGTTGGTGGCTGAGATAGAGGGGTCTACAGTTTCTTCAAGGGGGTCCACTTTATCTGCAGTTTGCGTATCCTCACTTCTCCGCTCATGTTCTATTTGTCTTGAAAGGGACTAGGAAAGGATGACATCATTACAGGCAACTGTAGGCAGAGGGAGTCTCAAGGACCGTTTTTCATAGTCCTGTTCCTGGACTTAGGGTTTCTGTGTTGATTTCCAAATCAGGGCCTCCTGGGGCCGGCTCCTAAACTGACTGCCTGCATGAAAGCTGTCTTATATGGTTTTTCCTAATTGGTAGCTGGAGGTAAGCTTGGAGACTGTCTTATCTGGTCTCATGTTGCTAGCTGGGTCTGTAGGGCAGGGGGTTGATAATCCTCTTGACCGAGACCACCCTCAGCCTCAGCAGAAGGCCAGCCCCCCATGGAACAGATGAGATAGGGTGGCAGCTATGCCTGGCAGATGAGAGGAGGGCCCTTCAGCCTTGAGGCCTTCAGAGGGCTCATCCCTTTGGCCCTCTGCTTACTCTCCATAACCCAGCGACTCTCAGTGTTTCCTCCCACCTGGCACACACTCCGTCCTCCCCTCAGGGGTCTTCAATGAGTGTTTAAGAGGCAGAGACTGATAGAATTCCAGGAGGACTCCTATCCCCTGCCTCTTTTTGGCCCTAAATAAAGCTGTCTACAGGGTCCTTGTCCCTAAAGAGCCATGTTGGTCTTGTCTGCCAGGGGTGGTCATAGTTGCTATTCTTTGCAGTGGCTCCAATGTCCCTTTCCCATTTCTGCTGGATGTGGGGACCACAGTGAGGTCAGCAGCCAGGTGCCATCATTTGGGAGCATGTGAGCTTGGATGCTCTGGCCAGGTTTTCATAGCCACCCAGAATGGTCCTAACTCTCCTCCATTGGCTGCTCTGGCCAAACCGTGGAATTGATCTCCATCTTGACCATCTCAGGGAGCAGGGCAGATGGGAAATCCAGTTTGGGGTGGAATTCAAGCAGGCACAGAGGGAAGCAGCCTTGGCCAACATCACAGACCTCGACAGAGCCATGCCTCTGTTCCAGAAGCCTCCTGGGGTAGGGAGGCCATGTGCCTGTATGCTTGGGCACGTGCCCATGGGAGGGGTGAGTAATGAACCTGCTCTGAGTCACTCACTGAGTCATGGCTCGGCCGGCACAGAACATTGTTATCATAACAGACATAAAGAAGAAAAACCTGGCATAGTAAGAGGAAATTCTGTCTTCATTCCAAACCACAACCAAGAATGGAGATTCAACCAGCAAGAATTTGTGATCACTTACCTGGGCCATGGCCCTATTTCAGCATAGAACATTTGTAATTCAGTTTGATCAATCTTTTCCTATTTTTTTTAATCAAGACTGCAAAAGTGTGCCTTCATTATTACATTTTCCACAAACCTGTTCACACACAAAGGGCCTTTGTTTCTCATTACCACCCGGGACTCCTTAAGGCGTTTATGGAGTGATTTGCTTTATTTAAAAGCGCTTTCACCAACTTCAAAATTGGAGTAATTATTCAAATGGTTAGATGATCCAGGAGTTCTGTGTTTTTACTAATTTTCTGATACTGAAAGAATCATGTGCTAATTAAGATAACAGCTGAATGTATGCTGATGAATGTTGGAAATCTTAGAAGCCGCCTGAAACCTTGCAAATGGTCAGGACTCTGGATCCCACTGGCCAGTGCCAACAGGTGGCTCTGGGTGGAGCTGGGGGTTACAGGGAACCTGGCTGTGGTAGGCTGCTCTGCTGGGCACCATTGGCTGCTGATGCATGTGTTTCCCCCACCAGGTTCCCTTAGGATGGCACATCAAAGAACAAATACACTCAAACCGCCTAGGTCAGCTGACTGGTGATGTTTTATGGATCTCTCTTTAAAAGTGTTCTGTCTTACTTAGGGATGATAGTTTATCCAATTCCAAATGTTTACCAAGAATTGAAGATAAGGATATCACCATGATGTTTGATAGAGAGTTTATGCCCTGGTTGTGATGTTGGGGTTTTATTGGTAAGAGTTTGGGTTATCTGGATGATATATGCACGTGTAAAGAAATAGGATGGTTTGCCAGTTGTCCAGGTGACCACAAAGAGTACCTCTGCAGGTCTAGGAATGTGAAGCTCAGATTTTGGAAACCTGGGCTGGTGTCCTGGGCTGTAGGTGAATGGGCGAAGCTGGTGGTTTGCTGCCATCTTCTGGCTATAGTGTGGAATTTATCAGAAGCCGCTACAAATGAGAGCAGCTGGAGCTCTATAAATTGCAAGCCTGGGCAACATGGCCAAACCCCATCTTTACAAAAAACTTTAAAAAGTTAGCTTGGCATGGTGGCACACACCTGTAGTCTCAGCTGTTTGGGAGGCTGACATGGGAGGATTGCTGGAGCCCAGGAGGTTGAGGCTGCAGTGAAAGACTGTGCCACTCCACTCCAGACTGGGTGAGAGTGAGACCCTGTCTCTTAAAAAAAAAAAAAAAAAGGCCAGGTGTGGTGGCCCATGCCTGTAATCCCAGCACTTTGGGAGTCCGAGGAGGGAGGATCACGAGGTCAAGAGATCAAGACCATCCTGGCCAATATAGTGAAACCCCATCGCTACTAAAAATACAAAAAGCCGGGAATAGTGGTATGTACCTGTAGTCCCAGCTACTCAGGAGGCTGAGGCAGGAGAATTGCTTCAACTTGGGAGGCAGAGGTTGCAGTGAGCTGACATCACGCCACTGCACTCCAGCCTGGCGACAGAGGGAGACTCTGTCTCAAAAAAAAAAAAAAAAAAAAAAAAAATCACAACAATGGAATTCAGTAGTGAGTAATCTTACTTTGTCTTTAACATGCATTCTGGTTTTAGAGTGAGCTATGTCTAAGGACAGAGTTGAGATAACAGTGAGTGACTAGTAACGAAAACAGCTGGGCCTGGTGGCTCACGCCTGTAATCCCAGCACTTTGGGAGGTTGAGGCAGGTGGATCAACTGAGGTCAGGAGTTCGAGAACAGCTTATCTCTACTAAAAATACTAAAATTAGCTGGGTGTGGTGGTGCATACCTGTAATCCCAGCTGCTCGGGAGGCTGAGGCAGGAGAATTGTTTGAACCTGGGAGGTGGAGGTTTCAGTGAGCTGGAAATTGCACCACTGCACTCCGGCCTGGGCAGCAGAAAGAGACCCTGTCTCAAAAAAAAATAAAATAAAAGAGAAACCACTCTAGGTGTTTCCAATAGAAGGAATTTAAATATAAGGGATTGATTACGAAAGTGTGTGAAGGACAAAAAAGGGAGTAGTTACCCAGCGGTGAGTGACTACAGAAGCCTCTGTCACCTATAAGCTGGCAAAGGGGGAGGCAGTGTTACACACAGCCCCCGAGTGCTGACGGTGGCGCCCGTGGGAAGCCAGGAGCTGCATACTCACCGATGCTGCAGGTGCCTGGGAACCTGCCGTCCTGGCCCCTCCACCCACGCTGGTTAGTTGGTGCTGTTGGGACACCTGCTGCTCTAGTGAATGGGTGCCACCAGGAAGAGAGGATTCAAGCCCCTCTTGCTCAAGGCCTTCTCCACCACCGGACTTGTCTCAAGATCGCAGGCCCAAGAAGCCCCAGGGAGTGGAGTGACAGGAGCCCTGCTCTGGGAGGCAGGAGACCTGGACTCTAGTTCCTCCTCCTCTCACTGACTGGGCCTCTGGAGAGAAGGGCAGGGACATTCTGGCATGTGGCAGGGGCCACCCTGTGTCATCGGCCGGATCCCAAGCTGGTACCTGGCAGGATTTAATGAAGGAACATTTGTCAAGTGCTAGATTAGTTCAGCTCCTGGCAGGAAACTGACAGCATGCACCGGGAAAGCTGCAGCTGGAAGAGTTTAACCAGGGGACTACTTACAGAGCTGCGGGTTCTAGAACGCCAACAAGGGGTGGTGAAGCACAGCTGTTTTCAGTCCTGGGCTCTAGGGGTAGGGACAGAGTAGTCTTCAGGATCGGCGGGGCTGTGGCTAAAGGCGGAAGCTTCAGAGGCAGGATGCTGGGGGAATAATTACCCTGGCCTCTTGCTCCTCCCCACTGCCCAGACTCCTGTCAGCCCATCCCATTGGCCAAGCCACCTGAAAGCCTGAGGGCCGGGGAGTCCAAATGGGAGGTAGTCTCTAGGCTGCTGGGCGTGAAGAAGTGGAAGAAAGGGCCTGGTGGGCAAACAGTGCCTCTGGCCTGATCACCTGCTGCCGTGGGAGGCACCTAGCAGGTGCTTTGTCATTAAGGCCACAGGGTTATGGCCACAGCAGAACTTGGTTCCCAGCCCCCTGGTGTGCAGAATTTCCACCACACTCCATCTCCTAGCAGTCCTTGGGCGGTGCTGCACAGTCCACCTGAACGACCTTGGAAACACCAAATTTTGGGGGCTGACTGGGCCTCTTCATCTTCTCTTCAGGTTGGGTGGGATGCTGGGTGTGCAAACAGGGACCCAAGGAAGACACATGCCACAGGCTGTGTCTACAGCTTCATCTCAGGGCAGAAGTCAGCAGGGCCAGGCACAGACCCACCCAGAGCTGAGGGGGCCAGGTTACCTTGTTCCCCACACCCAGTGAAATATGTGTGGGACACTCCCAAGCACACACACAGAGACGGCCCCTCTTGCCTGTGCCCAGCCCAGGTTGCTGACTGGAGTGGAGGCAGAACTCGTGTGTGTGTGTGTGTGTGTATATGTTTGGTGTGTATATGTGTATGTATGTGTGTGTGTATGTTTGGTGTGTATGTATGTGTTTGGTGTGTGTGTTTGGTGTGTGTGTGTATGTTTATGTTTGGTGTGTATATGTGTGTTTGGTGTATGTGTGTATGTTTGGTGTATGTGTTTATGGTGTGTGTATGTTTATGGTGTATGTGTATATGTGTTTGTGGTGTGTGTGTGCATGTGTGTGTGTGTGGCATTGGGGATGGGCGGAGGCTCTGCTCACTGAGGAATGATGTCCTGGTGGCATGCCCCATGGACTTGGAGCTTGAGAAGTGCGCCTTGGCTAGGCCCTGGCACTGATCACCTTGGGACAGTCATCTTTTCCAAACCTCTGGTTCCTCTTCTGTAAGATGCAAGTCCCTAACCACCTTTCCAGGGGGAGCATCCTGCGCAAGCTGTCGTGGGAGGGGGAAGGGCCCTAGTGACCCTCAGAGCCTCTACAGCCTGTGGGCAAGAGCTGGCCCTCCACGCCCAGAGGCCAGGCCTGACCCTGGTGAAGAGTGATCCAACTGAGGCCTCAGAGGAGGACAAGGAGGAGAGGGCTCACAGCAGCAGGGTGACACCTTGCCCTGGCCTCTTCTAGGGTAGAGGGCGGTGAGAGCCCATGGAGGCTGTCATCTAGCCTGAGAGGTTTTTTGCCTCTTCTCCCATGCCTGGGGTTCTCCCTGGGTTCTCCCAGTCTACAGAGCAAGATCCAGGCTCCACGAAATGCTGGAGGCCCTGCCTCTGTCCTCTACCTGGCCAGCACCCCATCACTAACCCTACTCATGAAGGATACTGCTTTGGCATCATTGTGAGGGCTAGGCTGGGGAAAGGTGGAGAGGGTGTCCTTCTCTGGGGCAGCTGAACCCAGGGAAAGGGAGTGACATGCCCCAAAAACACAGCAAGTGAGACTAAAGTCCACATCTCCAGACAGAACCCCAGGCTCCACTGGTCCATGCTGTGCAGGTTCCACCTCCCACCTCCCACCCTGCCGCTCTCACCGGGGCGGGGGCCTCAGGCCACCTCCTGAGCCCTCTGTGTCCTCAGTCCACCATTGGACCGGGTCCCTGGGTCCCTTCTTTGCTTCTCACTCCCCCCGCCCAGTCTCCTTGTTCTTCAGTCTTTTGCTTTCCCACTGGGTCCCTTCTCACACCTTCCATGGCTGTGCCCACTTCTTTGAACTCTGTTGACTTTTGAATCCTATATTTGAAGCAAGGCTATCACATGCATAAATATTTAAAATTTTATTATCTATGTTTTGATCTTTTTGTCATTATAAACATTTCATTTTTATTTCTAATATTTCCTGCCTTAAAGTCTACATTTCCTCTTTGAATGCTGTTCAATATCCACTGTGTAAATTCTCATGTGATAATTTTCTTTAAAAAATTATTTAGGGACCAGGCACCATGGCACATGCCTGTAATCTCAGCACTTTGGAAGGCCATGGTGGGAGAATTTCTTGAGCCAAGGAGTTCCAGACCAACCTGGGAAGCATGGCAAAACCCTGTCTCTACCAAAAAT